GAGAGAGGAAGGAAAAGATAAGAGAGATGCCAAGGTCTGGACAATGGCTCAGCAGGGAGTCAGAGTCCAACTGAGGAAGAAAGGAAGGAAGGAAGGCTGGTCGGAGGCACAAAAAGCATCGGAGAGAATAGAGGCAGGGAAGGATTGAGGAGGGGGAGGCATGGGCAAAAGGCAGAGGCTGCCGGGAAGGAAAGGGGAGGGAGCACCACGTGGCTGAGATGTGGGTGGAAGGACATGTTTGCACATGGCACCCGCTTGGCCTCATTCATCCAAGGATGCTCTACACACAGAGCAGGATCAGAGGCATTAAACGGAGTGCATAAGAGGCAATCGTTAACTTCTTGAGTCATATAGCTAGTCACGATTGCTGATATCATCTTTTCCCACTTAATTATTTGTTGACTCAGTTTAGTTCTATCTAGCTGTGGATAAGCAGTTCAGGAGAAGGTACAGCATTTCGACCAGGCCATAGAACTGAGACAGCCTTGGTCTCCTTAGTGAATGACATATGCAGGGAATTGGACCGAGGAGTGTGTTCCTGTTGGTTCTCCTGGACCTCTCAGTGGCCTTCGATACTGTAGACCACAGAATCCTTTTGGAGTGCCTCATGGGAATGTGGCTTGGAGGTACTATCCCACAGTGGCTCTGGTCCTTTCTGGAGGTCATTTTCAGAAGATGTATTCTCCCCTATGAACCATCAAGATTATTAAGATCGTTTGGAGAGGCCCTGCTCTCGGTCCCACCGGCCTCACAAGCACGTCTGGTGGGGACAAGGGACAGGGCCTTCTTGGTGGTGGCCCCGCGACTCGGGAACTCTCTCCCACCGGAGATCAGAACCGCCCCTTCTATCCTGACGTTTAGGAAACAGGTGAAGACGTGGTTATGGAGACAGGCTTTCGATGAGTGAGACAACACCCTAAGACATGGAGGGAAGATGATGTATAATTGTTTTTTAGTATGACAACTGACCACTGTAGTTTTGGATATATTTGTTGTTTTAATGTGTTATTGTAATATGAACTATGATGTTTTCACCGATTGTGTGTGTTTTTATGGTTGGAAACCGGTCTGAGTCCCTCAAAAGAGGTGAGAAGGTTGGTATATAAAACCCTGAAATAAATAAATAATAAATAAAGATGTTGTTGGGGGACTCCTGCTTGACCCCACAGCCTTGTCCTGTGGGGTCTCACAGGGTTCAGTATTGTCCCCCATCTTGTTTAACATCTATAGGAAGCAATCGGGAGAGATCATCCAAAGTTTTGGAATTTGTTGTCATCTGTATGCAGCACTACCACTCTTTTCCACCCACTGTTAAGGAGACTGTCCTGGTCCCGAACCGGTGCTTGGCAGCTGGGACAATCCGGATGAGGGCAAACAAATTGAATCCAGACAAGACAGAAGTCCTTCTGGTCAGTTGAAAAGTCAAACAGAGTATAGGGTTACAGCCTGTGCTGGATGGGGTGACACTTGCCCTGAAGACACAGGTTTGCAGTTTGGGAGTCCTCCTGGATTTATTGCTGAGGCTGGAACCCCAGGTCTTGGTGGTGGCCAGGGGAGCATTCGCACAAGTAAAACTTAAAACACATGGTGCATTGGCATATCTTTGTTCCTAATAGTTCAAAGAACTATCTAAATGTATCAGTCTAACAGCTGAGAAACTTAACTGCCTTGCATGAAAACTCGTGGAAATTTACCACTGGAGAAATTACACTGTTTAGTTGGTATTGCACCACCTGACATCCACCAGGAAGTAGCAGCCAATAGTGAAAGGACCAAGGCAGTGACATCTCCAGCTCATCCCCTGTTTGGGTATCAGCCAGCACGCCAATGACTTAAATCAAGAAATAGTTTTCTAAGACCTACAGAGATACTTGCAGGAACACCTCAGCAAGCAAGAGTCCAAAAGTGGCAGGCTCAAACCTAGAACCTCAATCAATGAGAGACTCCCCTCTGGGCACACAGAAAACTGGGCGACTTGGAAGGTGCTGAACAGACTGCGCTCTGGCACCACGAGATGCAGAGCCAACCTTCAGAAATGGGGCCACAAAGTGGAATCCACGACATGCGGGTGTGGAGAAGAACAAACCATGGACCACCTGCTGCAATGCACCCTGAGCCCTGCCACATGCACAATGGAGGACCTTCTTAGAGTAACACCAGAGGCACTCCAAGTGGCCAGATACTGGTCAAAGGACATTTAATCAACTACAAAGCTTGCAAACTTTGTGTTTTGTTTGTTAAAAAATGCAATACAACTGTTTGGTTTGGCCCTGACACGATAAATAAATAAAAACTACTAAGGAGAACCTTCTGAAACTCTGTGCTCTACACACACACACACACACACACACACACACACACACATACATATAGTGCATTGGCATATCTTTGTCCCTAACAGTTCAAAGAGATATCTAAGTTTATCAGTCTAACAGCTGAGAAACCTAATCGCCTTGCATGAACACTCGTGGAAATTTACCACTAAGGAGAGGGTTGATTCAAGCAAATTTTTAACTCTTCTTAGGAAGATCATAGTTTCTAAAAGAGTCCTGATTTCCCCAAAAGATTATGAATGCCATTTTCCCAAAAGTTATTTATTTACTATATTTGTATACCACCCCTCTTAGTCCGCAAGTGACTCAGGGCGGTTATGGTTTTCTAAATCAAGGATGGGCCATGGAAGATGGGACTTGCAGTACGTTCACTCACTTCCTGAGACCACTGCGACCCACACCCATGACCAACAGAAAACACTAGAAGGGTTTGGAGGGCATTGACTTTGAGTTTGGGAGTTGTAGTTCACCTACATCCAGGGAGCACTGTGGACTCAAACCATGATGGATCTGGACCAAACTTGGCACAAATCCTCAAAATGCCCAAATGTGAACACTGGTGGAGTTTGGGAAAAATAGACCTTGACATTTGGGAGTTGTAGGTGCTGGGATTTATAGTTCACCTATAATCAAAGAGCATTCTGAACTCCATCAACAATCTAATTGAACTAAACTTAACACACAGAACTCCCATGACTAACAGAAAATACGGGAAGGGTTTGGTGGGCATTGACCTTGAGTTTGGGAGTTGTAGTTCACCTACATCCAGGGAGCACTGTGGACTCAAACCATGATGGATCTGGACCAAACTTGGCAAAAATCCTCAAAATGCCCAAATGTGAACACTGGTGGAGTTTGGGAAAACTAGACCTTGACATTTGGGAGTTGTAGTTGCTAGGAAACTACGATGTACATTGGCATATCTTTGTCCCTAACAGCTATCTAAGTTTATCAGTCTAACAGCTGAGAAACCTAATCGCCTTGCATGAACACCCATGGATATTTTCCACTAAGGAGAGGGTTGACTCGAGCAAGTTTTTAACTCTTCTTAGGAAGATCATACTTTGCAAAAGGTTATGATCTCTAACAACGTCATGTCTTTCCAAAAAAATTCCTGATTTCCCCAAAATATTTCCAAAAGGTTATGGTTTTCCGAAAGGTTATAATTTTCCAAAAGGTTATGGTTTTCCAAAAGGTTATAATTTTCCAAAAGGTTATGGTTTTCCGAACCATACTCTGTGTCCCTCAGATGAGAAGAGACAAACAAAAAGTGCTGAGAATTCGTCACCATTTCCTGCACGCTCTTCCACTCTGAGCATTAATTTTTCAAGGGCTCTCCATCCATCCCCAGTTACCACCGGATACAATTTTCCACCCATCGGACAATCTCTCGTTTCCTTCCTGCTTTGGATTCAAACAAAGGCGTACCACCAGGAAGGGCTGATCCACTCATCTACCTCTTCCTAACTGAATAGCTTCCAAAAAAATCAAATCGTTTTGCACATTTTAGGCGGATCCAAGCACCCAAAGCATCTTTGGACACAATGCCTTTGAAACTGTCTAACTATTCAAAGCACTAACCAGAAAAAAAGGAAAGGAACCCAAGTGCTAAGTCCAGCTGTGTTGTGCAATGTGCGAATCATAGTTACAAACATAGATACAAACAAAACCCAGGTCAGGCAAAGAGAAAGGTAGACAGACCATTGCCTTTCAATAGCTCCACTGATAGACAAAGAACCCTTCTGCACTGCCATTTAAATCCTGATTTTCTCTGCTTTGAACTGGATTATGTGGCAGTGTAGACTAGTCATGGGAAAACTTTACCCTTCCAGGTGTTTTGGACTTCAACTCCCACCATTCAGGAATGGTGGGAGTTGAAGTCCAAGCACTCGGAGGGCCAAAGTTTTCCCATGCCTGGTGTAGCCTCATATAATCCAGTTCAAAGCAGATAATCTACTTTGATAATCTGGATTATATGACAGTTTAGAAGGGGACAAAGTCAGTCTCAAGTCATGAAAACATACTCAAAAGGAGGGTTAATCACCACAACAACAACAATCAACAAATGACTCCATCACCTTACACATGTATGAACCTAAATGGATTAACAAATGGGTAGAAGAGAAAAGGAAAGCACAGAGCCCACATTATGTGCTTTGAACTGGATTATATGAGTCTACACTGCCATATAATCCAGTTCAAAGAAGATAATCTGGATTTTATATGGCAGGGCAGAAGAGGACTGTGATTCTTTTTATGGTGTCTAATCCCAACTTGTGCCAACCTCTGCCCCTTCTACACTGCTATATAATCCAGATTATCAAAGCAGATAATCCAGGTTAATTTTAAATAAGACTTTTGACTTTTCCTGCTAGCTCAAGTAAGGGCAAACTTCAGCCCTCCCACAACTCCCACAATTCCTACCAGGGTCTATTTCATTACCTTCACAGAGGCATAGTCTTTGGGATTATGGAATTCCAGACAGTCCACCTCTTAGCAGCTCTCTAGGGAAAATACCGGTTGTTAGGAATCGTGAGAGTTGAAGTTCAAAACACCCGGAGGGCTGAAGTTTGCCCACGCCTGTGCAAGTTGCTTTGAGTGGGCCACATTGGAGGAAAGACGTCATACAAATGCAACGGGAGAAAGACAGAAAGGAGCGGCTCCTACCTTGCCGGGTGGAGACGTTCCTCTCGTTGCCGGCACGGAGGACGACCTGCGGGCAGCTCTGCTCCAAGACGAAGAGCTCGTCCTTTCCCACTTTGGTGCTCTTGCCGGCCTTGAGGGTGCCGCTGGGCCCGGAGGGGGAGAGGTACTTGCCCTCGCAGTCCCGGAAGGCCACCTTGCCGGAGCGGAACTCCAATGTGTAGCCCGTGCCTGGTTCTGGTCGTGCCACTAGCTTGCCATCATGGCGGAGGAAGCGGTAGTCAGCTGTCTGGATGCTGTAGCGTTGGTCCTGGAAAAATGAGTGAAAAATTCTCCGTCAGCCACTAATAAAGGCAATGCAATTCTAGGCCGCATCAACAGTAGTGTCTAGAGACTTCATCCCACTGAACATGTCAAGGGTTCGGAAGAGTAGATTTACCATACAGTTTAAGCATGCTCCAGACCAGCGTACCTATCCGAACGTATCTCCTTCTACATCCCACTTAACTTAAGATCTTCTGCTCCCGGCCCTGTCTCTTTCACAACTGCACTTGGACGAGGGGCAGGGCCTTCTCGGTGGTGGCCCCCCACCAGTGGAATTAACTCCCCGGAGAAATTAGGCTGTCTTCATCCCTCCTCACCTTTAGAAAAAAGTTAAAAACATGGATGCAGGACCAGGCCTTTGGGTAACTATACGGACTATGACAATGACTATGACGACAGCTGTTATGGGAATGGACTATGGACAAGCTTGATGAGTCTCCGACTACAGCAGTGGTTCTCAACCTTGCTAATGCCGTGACCCCTTAATGCAGTTCCATATGTTGTGGTGACCCCCAACCATAACATTGTTTTCATTGCTACTTGATACCTGTCATTTTACTACAGTTATAAATCGTAATGTAAATATCCTATATGCATTCACTGGACTAAATTGAGCACAAATACCCAATATGCCCAAATGTGAATGCTAGTGGGGTTGGGATTTATAGTTCAAAGAGCATTCTAAACTCCACCAGTGATGGATTTAAACCGAACTTGGCACACAGAACTCCCATGACTATTAGAAAACACTGGAGGTTTGTTGGGCATTGACCTTGAGTTTGGGAGTTGTAGTTCACCTATATCCAGAGGAGTGCTCTGGATTCATGCAATGATGGATCTGGACCAAACTTGGCACGAATACTCAATATGCCCAAATGTGAACACTGGTGGAGTCTGGGGAAAATAGACCTTGACATTTGGGAGTTGTAGTTGTTGGGATTTATAGTTCACCTATAATCAAAGAGCATTCTGAACTCAACCAACAATAGAATTGGGTCAAACTTCCCACACAGAATCCCAATGACCAACAGGAAATACTGTGTTTTCTGATGGTCTTTGGCGACCCCTTTGACACCCCTCACGACCCCCTCAGGGGTCCCGACCCCCAGGTTGAGAAACACTGGACTACAGAATTCGGCGAGATAATGTCCACCGGACTAGTATATTTGACTAGATTTTAATTGTATTGACTTAATCTTTTTAACTATATATAATTACTGTTTCTGTTCTGTATTTTGTTATGTATACACGGAGGCATTGAATTGTTGCCGGCTGGAAGCTGCCCTGAGTCCCTCCCAAGGGGGTTGAGAAGGGCGGGGTAAAAATACTCGAAATAAATAAATGTTTATAAAATTTTTGAAAATTCACCAAAAATCCTAGGATAAGTTAAACATTCTGAAATTTGGTGGGCTAACAAGGTGGTAAATATGGACAATTTCAACAGAAAGGAAGAAACCATGAAAATGAACAAAATCTGGCTATCAATATTAAAAAAACTCAAAAATTACAACAGCAAAACAACAGAGAGTAAACAATCAGGCACATCAAATCACTCTCAACAAAAGATTCCCCCCAGGCACTTCCAAGCCATTAAATACTAATCAAGGTGGTCAGTTGAAACATTCACACCTAGCTCCAACAGACAAAAGTCCTTTGCCCCACCCGGGGCATTCCACAGATATATAAACCCATTTTTCCTACTTCCAACAGACCTCACTACCTCTGAGGATGCTTGCCATAGATGCAGGCGAAACGTCAGGAGAAAATGCCTCTAGAACATGGCCATATAGCCTGGAAAAACCTACAACAACCCAGTAGTAAATGTGTGTTATCATTGTAGCAAGTAGGCTTGGTTGATCAAAAAAATACTTCATAAACTTGTTTATGAATACTTGGTGGTTCAATTATAAAGTCACTTCCAAATTATTCCAAAAAAATATATTAAAAACTTTCCGAAACTTCTGAATTGACCCGTTAATGCAGACACGCATGCGCAGTAGAGGAAAAAAGCAGCACTGTGAAGGGTTTGGAAGAGTAGGTTTACCATACAGCTTAGGCATTCTCATGTTGTTTATAAAAACTTTGAAAATTCACCAAAAATCCTAGAATAAGTGAAACATTCTGAAATTTGGTGGGCTAACAGTGGTAAATGTGTTCTATCATTGTAGCAAGTAGGCTTGGTTGATCCAAAAAAAAAAATGGTTCAAAACCCGTTTTGGATGTAGGGGGTGCTGGTGGTTCAATTCTAAAGTCACTTCCAAATTTTTCCAAAACAAAATTGAAACTTTCCGAAACTTCCAAATTGATTTGTTAATGCGAACACGCATTCGCAGTAGGAAAAAAAACACTGGCACTGGGGAAACTTCAGGGGAATCTCCCTCCCTCATTTTCAGACCAATCCTGATGAAATTTGCTACAGTGGTAGAACACATGGACCACTGTTAGCTCACCAAATTTCATGACATTTGACTTATCCATGGATTTTTGGCAAATTTTCAAATTTCTTAAAATAAAAAAAACATTTTTTAATAATAAAGAAAATCTATTCCAGGGTTGAAAGTGTTATTTCCTATTTCATTGGGTGGTGTTTACTTTTAAAGTAGTTGTTCTACTCCAGAAACTTTGTTTGTGTGGCACAAACTGTGTTAAATTGGTGGAGAACAGAAATCATAGCACAGACCCTATCAAGGGACATCTAGACTGACCCCCTTCTTCTGGACATAAAGGCACCATCCAAACTCTCCTGACATCAGTTTGCTTCCTCTACTGAGTTGGAGGGGACCCTCAAGACACATCCATCTGTTTATTCCTTTTTGCAGATGTAATCAATCATTTTATTTTATCATTACTTACTGGCTGTAAAGCGCTGGCTGGCTGTGGCTGGCTACCCCAGTGACTTGTTCACGGCAATCAGGCCAAAGTAAAAGGATTGATTTTTAAGCAGTTTATGTTCTCTTGGCTTTGCAAAAGTTACTTATTGCTTTGCTGCCTTCTTTAGACCTCTTTGTAGGTTCAATCAGTTTATTTTATATTTAGACGAAGACTGCTACAGGCAGCTATTTTGGGTCCTTCAGCCATTTTGGCTAATGATCAGGTGAGCATTGTGGGAAATGTAGTTTTAAGAGTAGGACCTTTTGCAATCTCTACCATTAGAGATTGGAGACCTGGCCTTCACAAACCACAACAATGGCTGTGTTTAGCCACGCCCACCTCATCCCTCCCTTGCATCGCCGGAGAGAGAAAGCATGAGATTTTAAAACTGTTTAGGCTTTACCAAAGTTGCTTAATAGTTGTGAAAATTAAAATAACCTTGGGAGACATCCGAACGTTATATAATATTTCTGGTTCAAATTCGGATTCCCCCTCCCACCTTTCCTGCATAGTTCAAAAATGCATCGGAAGTCCAAATTGGTAAGTTTTTTCCGACTTTCAGACTCTTCCGAACGAACCTATCCAACCCTAGTAGCAAGTTTCACCCCCATAGCTGTAAAAATGAGGGAGAAAGGAGCCCCTGAAGTTTCCCCAATTAGTCATTTAATCACGCGCATGCGCAATTACTGTAATGAAATAATGAAATTTCGTTAGTCTTGTTATGGTAACGCATTTTTCACTAAGTCTACTTTAGAAACAAAGCACCAGTGCAACTTTTGCAATGACTTTTGAACCATTTTTGTAATGTATTGTACATCCCCAGGATGTGGACTTGAGTTCTTCCCACCTGGAAGAGGGTTCTGACGCAAGATCTCTTGGAGAATGCACGGGCCAACTTTGGCCCTCTGGGTGTTTCGGACTTCAACTCCCACAATTCTATTTGCTTTGCTGCCTTCTTCAGACCTCTTTGTAGATTTAATCAGTTTATTTTATACTAGCTGTACCCACCACGCGTTGCTGTGGTCAACCTTCCCTCCCTCTTTCTCTCCTTCCTTCCCTCTTTTTCCTTCCCTTCTTATTTCTCTTCTTTCTTCCATCTCTACCTGTTTCTTTCCTCCCTTTCTTTGTTCTTTGGTTACATCCTTCCTTCCTTCCCTCTGTCTGTCTTTTGTTCCTTCTCTCCTTCCTTCCCTCTCTCTTTCCTTTCACCCTTTTATTTCCTTCTCTTCTTCCTTCCTTCTATACGTTTCTTTTTCTTTCCTTCTCCTTCCCTCCTTCTTTCTACCCCTCCCTCCTTCTTTACGTTTTCTTGCCCTGATGAAGGGAGTTGGATTGGATGGCCTTAAGTATTTTCTGTTGGTCATGGGGTTTCTGTGTGGGAAGTTTGCCCTCATTCTGTCATTCTTGGGGTTCAGAATGCTCTTTGATTGTAGGTGAATAATGAATCCCAGTGTCTACAACTCACAAATGTCAAGGTCTATAGTATTTTCCCCAAACTCCATCTGTGTTCATATTTGGGCATATGGGCGTATGCTTGTGCCAAGTTTGGTCCAGATCCATCATTGTTTGAGTCCACAGTGCTCTCTGGATGTAGGTGAACTACAACTCCCAAACTCAAGGTCAATGCTCACCAAACCCTTCCAGTATTCTCTGTTGGTCATGGGAGTTCTGTGTGCCAAGTTTGGTTCAATTCCATCGTTGATGGAGTTGAGATTGCTCTTTGATTGTAGGCAAACTATAAATCCCAGCAACTCCAACTCCCAAATGACAAAAGCATAATTTTTTGAGTGATGGTCACTCCTTGTGTAGTGAGACGTTTTATTGCCAAATTTGGTGTGATTTTGTTCATTGGTTCTTTTGTTTTTAAGGTACTCATTATGCACAGAGCATTTATATATAGATAGATTTAGACGAAGACTCCTACAGACGGCTATTTTGGGTCCTTCAGCCGTTTCGGCTAATGAGCAGGCGAATTGTGGGAGTTGTGGCAGGAACAGGTCAGCTTTGGCCCTCCGGGTGTTTTGGACTTCAACACCCGGAGGACCAAAGCTGGCCCGTTCCTGCCTAAGATGCATCCCAATCTGCCATTGAGCTCAACTAACCTGGAAGACGAGGGTGACCAGGGCGTCGGTTCCCCAGGGCACGTCGCGGTTGACGGCCACCTCCTCCTCTCCGGCGCCGGTGGTGCTGAGGTGTGCGTAGCGCTTGCGGGCCAGGCTGAAGATGTGGACCTGAGGGTGCATGGCCAGGTGGACACTCCACTTCTCGGCGGGCGAGACAACCTGGGCAAAGCAGGAGAGGCGGTCCTCGGTGCCGCCGAAGAAGCGCCGGTGCGGCTCGGACTGGAGGGACCAGCGCCCGTCATCGTGGGCCACCAGCAGGAAGCGGCAGTCGGCCGTGGGCGCCTCGCTGTCACAGGTAACCCGGCCATCCTTGTCGGCAGCCAGGTAGCGGCCCAGGTGGCTGCGCAGGAAGACGGCACCTGCATCCTCGCTCCCGCCGTTGGGCTCCAGCGTCCAGATCTGCTTCTTCTTCAGGCTGGGTGCCGAAGCGTTGAGTTTGAAGCCAAAGGCCTCGGCCGTCAGGTATTTGTTGCCACAGTTGATCAAGCCGAACTGGATCTGGAGCGACTCCGAAGTCGTCCCGTTGGCCGTCATGATGGGGGGCAGAAAGGAGGAGGAACCAACACCCCAAAGAAAGGAGGGAGGAGAGATAGAGAGAGAGGAGGGGAAGGGAGATGGAGATGGAGCTGGGGGGAAAAGACAGAGAGAAACAGGTTCAGTCTGTTGGTTTAATATATAACAACAACAACAACAACAACAACAACAACAACTTTATATCCAGCCCCATCTTCCCAAGGGACTCGGGGCGGCTTACAAGGCACAGTGCAAAATAAAACACATAAAATATACAACAAATTTTAGCCTAATTTTTTATAAAATTAAATATTATCACTAATGTTTTGATATTGGGTCCATCATTCTCTCTCTCTCTCTCTCTCTCTCTCTGTGTGTGTGTGTAAATAAATATTCTGGGCACCACAACTGAAGGGAGATGTTGACTCTAAGCTGGAATACTGTGTCCAGAGAAAGAGGGAGACTCAAAGGATCAAGGGTCTGAAGAACAAACCCTATGAGGAGTGGCTGAAAGAGTTGGGCATGGGCATGTTTCGCCTGCAGAAGAGAAGGCTGAGAGAAGACATATTCTGGGCACCACAACTGAAGGGAGATGTTGACTCTAAGCTGGAATACTGTGTCCAGAGGAAGAGGGAGACTCAAAGGATCAAGGGTCTGGAGAACAAACCCTATGAGGAGTGGCTGAAAGACCTGGGCATGTTTCTCTTGCAGAAGAGAAGGCTGAGAGAAGACATATTTTGGGCACCACAACTGAAGGGAGATGTTGACTCTAAGCTGGAATACTGTGTCCAGAGGAAGAGGGAGACTCAAAGGATTAAGGGTCTGTAGAACAAACCCTATGAGGAGCGGCTGAAAGAGCTGGGCATGTTTCGCCTGCAGAAGAGAAGGCTGAGAGAAGACATAATGAGGGCTGTGGATCAAGATGTGAGTGGAAGTCATAGGAAGGAGGGAGCAAGCTTCCTTTTGCTGCTCTGGAGACTAGGATGCAATGGAACAATGGCTTCAAACTACAAGAGAGGAGATTCTATCTGAACATGAGGAAGAACTTCCTGACTGCGAGAGCCGTTCAGCAGTGGAACTCTCTGCCTCGGAGTGTGGTAAAGGCTCCTCCTTTGGAGGCTTTTAAACAGAGGCTGGATGGCCATCTGTCGGGGCTGCTTTGAATGCAATTTTCCTGCTTCTTGGCGGAATGGGGTTGGACTGGATGGCCCACGGGGTCTCTTCCAATTCTAGGATCCTATGATGCTATCAAAAGTAACAGCAAAAGTTTCTCCTGGCATTAAGTCTAGTTGTGTCTGACTCTGCAGGGTGGTGTCCATCTCCATTTCTAAGCCAAGGAGCCGGTATTGTCCGTAGACACCTCCAAGGTCATGCAGCCACTGGCTTGACTGCATGGAGCGCCGTTACCTTCCCGCAGAAGCAGCACCTATCGATGGACTCGCATTTGCATATTTTCAAACTGCTAGGTTGACAGAAGCTGGGGCTAACAGCAGGAGCTCACCCCGTTCCCCGGATTTGAACCGCCGACCTTTCGGTCAGCAAGTTCAGCAGTTTAACCCGCTGCACCGCCAGTGTGTGTATACACAAACACACACGTCACTATGCTTTGAAATTGGATCCATCACTTTGAAACACCCATCTCTCTCTCTATGTATGTATGTATGTATGTATGTAACTGGTGATGGAGCTGTGGAGGGGAAAGATGGCCAGAGAAACAGTTTCATTCTGTATGTATGTATGTATGTGTTTGTGTGTGTGTGTGTGTGTGTATATATATATATATATATATATATATCTCATCACGAAGCTTAGAAATTGGGTCCATCGTTATGACACATCCTCCCACTCTCTCTATATATATATATCGCTGGCGATAGAGTTGGAGGGAAAGGAGGGAGAAAAAGAAGTTCCATTTGTTATATATAGATCTATAGATACATACATACTAGCCGTCCCCTGCCACGCATGGTCGTGGCCAAGTCTGCATATATGTGTTTTGTGTGTGTATATATATTTGTGTATATGTGTATATATGTGGTTATGCGCATGCGTTGTAATGTATTTTTGGTTTTCTGGCTTTTTAAGTCCCTTCTGCTGTGTGCATATGCATATATGTTATGTGTTTGTGTATATACATGTGGTTTTGCGCATGCGTTGTAATGTATTTTTTAAATATATTTTTGCTTTTTAAGTCCCTTCTGCTGTGTTGTCCAGTGTTTTTATGAGTGATGGTCACTCCCTTGGCCTAAGAGGTGTCTTGTGTCCACTTGGACAAAATAACTCTATCTATATCTATATCTATATCTATCTATCTATCTATCTATCTATCTATCTATCTATCTATCTATATATCATTAAAAAATCCCAGGATAGATAGATAGATAGATAGATAGATAGATAGATAGATAGATAGATAGATAGATAGATGGATGAGGGAAAAGAGAGATCTATCTATTTATCTTTCTAACCCCAGAATTGATGGATGGATAGTGATGGGAAGGAAAAGAGAATATAACTCTATCTATCTATCTACCTATCAAAAAACCCAGAACAGATAGGTAGATAGGTAGATAGATAGATAGACAGACAGACAGACAGATAGATAGAGATAGGAGGGAAAAGAGAAATAAATCTATCTATCTATCTATCTATCTATCTATCTAAAAAAATACCCAGGAGAGATGGATGGATGGATGGATGGATGGATGGATGGATGGATGGATGGATAGATAGATAGAGATAGGAGGGAAAAGAGAAATCTATCTATCTATCTATCTATCTATCTATCTATCTATCTATCTATCTATCTATCTAAAAAAAACCAGGATAGATAGATAGATAGATAGATAGATAGATAGATAGATAGATAGATAGAGGAGGGAAAGGAGAAATCTATATATCTGTCTTTCTTTCTAACCCCAGAACTGATGGATGGATGGATGGATGGATGGATGGATGGATAGTGATGGGAAGGAAAAGAGAATATAACCCTATCTATCTATCTATCTATCTATCTATCTATCTATCTATCTATCTATCTATCTATCTATCTATAAAAACCCATAATAGATAGATAGATAGATAGATAGATAGATAGATAGATAGAGATAGGGAGGGGGGAAGAGAAATCTATCTATCTATCTATCTATCTATCTATCTATCTATCTATCTATCTATCTATAAAACACAAAAAGTAGCTACAGTTTGGTAAGAGAAAGAGAGCGAGAGAGAAATCCCAGAAGAGATAGATTAGATAGATAGATAGATAGATAGATAGATAGATAGATAGATAGAGGGAAAGGAGAAATCTATCTATCTATCTATCTATCTATCTATCTATCTATCCATCCATCCATCCATCCATCCATCCCCAGGATGGATGGATGGATGGATAGATAGTTAGTGATGGGAGGGAAAAGAGAATATAACTCTATCTATCTACCTCTAAAAACCCCCGAATAGATAGATAGATAGATAGATAGATAGATAGATAGATAGAGGAGGGAAAAGAGAGAGAAACCTATCTATCTATCTATCCCCAGAATAGATGGAGGGAGAGACAGAGAGAGAGAGAGAGAGAGAGAGATGGGAGGGAAAAGAGAATATAAATCTATCTATCTACCAATTTAAAAAACCCAGAACACATAGATAGATTAGATAGATAGATAGATAGATAGATAGATAGATAGATAGATAGATGATAGATAGATATAGATAGACATAGATATAGATAGGTAAATGGATAGATAGAGATAGGAGGGAAAAGAGAAACCCAGAACAGAGAGACAGAGAGAGAGAGTGATGGGAGGGAAAAGAGAAACATCTATCTATCTATCTATCTATCTATCTATCTATCTATCTATCTATCTATCTATCTATCTATCTATCTATCTATCTATCTCAGGATATATATATATATATAGAGAGAGAGAGAGAGAGAGAGAGAGAGAATCATAGAATCATAGAATCAAAGAGTTGGAAGAGACCTCCTGGGCCATCCAGTCCAACCCCATTCTGCCAAGAAGCAGGAATATTGCATTCAAATCACCCCTGACAGATGGCCATCCAACCTCTGCTTAAAAGCTTCCAAAGAAGGAGCCTCCACCACACTCCGGGGCAGAGAGTTCCACTGCTGAACGGCTCTCACAGTCAGGAAGTTCTTCCTCATGTTCAGATGGAATCTCCTCTCTTGTAGTTTGAAGCCATTGTTCCGTGTCCTAGTCTCCAAGGAAGCAGAAAACAAGCTTGCTCCCCTCCTCCCTGTGGCTTCCTCTCACATATTTATACATGGCTATCATATCTCCTCTCAGCCTTCTCTTCTTCAGGCTAAACATGCCGAAGCTCCTAAGCCGCTCCTCATAGGGCTTGTTCTCCAGACCCTTGATCATTTTAGTCGCCCTCCTCTGGACACATTCCAGCTTGTCAATATCTCTCTTGAATTGTGGTGCCCAGAATTGGGACACAATATTCCAGATGTGGTCTAACCAAAGCAGAATAGAGGGGTAGCATTACTTCCCTAGATCTAGACACTATGCTCCTATTGATGCAGGCCAAAATCCCATTGGCTTTTTTTGCCGCCACATCACATTGTTGGCTCATGTTTAACGTTGTCCACGAGGACTCCAAGATCTTTTTCACACGTACTGCTCTTGAGCCAGGCATCGTCCCCCATTCTGTATCTTTGCATTTCGTTTTTCCTGCCAAAGTGGAGTATCTTGCAAGTGGAGAGAGGGAGAGAGGGAGAGAGTGATGGGAGGGAAAAGAGAATATATCTCTCTATCTCTATCTATCTATCTATCTATCTATCTATCTATCTCTCTCTATCTATCTATCTATCTATCTATCTATCTACCTATCTATCTATCTATCTCTCTATCTCTATCTATCTATCTATCTATCTATCTATCTATCTATCTATCTATCTTAAAAAACCCAAAAGAGAGAGAGAGAGAGATAGGAAGCTGGAGAGATGAGAGGAGAAAGAGAATTATCCTCAATTCAGGTTGCCTTTTTAAACTGAACTGACCAGGAATTTTGAGAATTGGGAAGAAATCATTTCAACTGTGGAGAGGAAGGGAAGACAAGAGAGGAAACGCCTTTCCGTCCTTTCCTCAAAGAGGAAAATGGGAGGAAATCATTGGGAATTTCTAAAAGATGCTGGAGGAATATATATATATATATATATATATATATATATATATATATATTCCTCCAGCATCTTTTAGAAATTCCCAATGATTTCCTCCCATTTTCCTCCCATTAAAGCCTATATATTCCCATTTTCCTCCCATTAAAGCCTATTCCCAATGATTTCCTCCCATTTTCCTCCCATTAAAGCCTATATATATATATATATATATATATATATATATATATATATATAAATAAATAAATAAATATATAGGCTTTAATTGGAAGGGGTTGAGCCTTAAGCCGGGTTTTGTTTATTTGAAGAGCTGGAGGGGCGGGAGAGGTGCGATTCTGCTTTCGCAATAATAATAATAATAATAATAATAATAATAATAATAATAATGTAATATACATTATTGCTATATTATTATATATTATTAGTATAATGCAATAATGTAATAATATAATGTTATAATAGTATAAGATAATATAATAATATAAATATAATAATGAAATAATAAAGTAATAATAGAATTATAATATAATAATAAGGTAATATAACAATGTAATTATGATAGAATAGAATAACAGAATTGTTATAGGATATAATAATATAGGTAATTATAATGGAATAGAATAATAGAATTATAATATAGTATAATAATAATAATGTAATAATATAATAAAATAATAAAATAATATAATGGTAATAATAAAATAATATTATTACATCATATAATAATTTAATAATAGAATAGAATAATAGAATAGAATAATGTGACAATATAACAATGTAATAATAATATAATGGAATTTATTATTATTATTATTATTATTATTTATAATAGCAATGCAATAATAAAAGATTATAATATAATAATGTAATAAAGTAATGCAACGCAATATAATATAATATAACAATATAAAATAAAATAATAATATTATAATATGTTGTATTATATTATAATATATTAAATTGCGTTGCATTATTTTATTACATTATTATAATATAATATAATATAATATAATATAATATAATATAATATAATATAAGGATGAGCCGCCCTGGGGAAATAGACCGGGCGGGTTACAAAGAAAGTTGTTGTTGATGTTATTATTATTATTATTTATAATAGCAATGCAATAATAATATAAGATTATAATATAATAATATAATAAAATAATGCAACCCAATATAATATAACAATATAATATAATATTATACTATGTTGTATTATATTATATTGCATTGCATTATTTTATTACATTAATATAATATAATAATATAATATAAAATAACATATTTTATATTATATTGTATGTATTTATATGTATGTATTTGTATTTGTATGTATGTATTTATATATTGTATGTATTTATGTTTTATATTATATTGTGTGGTTTATATTATATTATATGTATGTTGTATTATATTGTATTATATTGCATTGCATTATTTTATTACATTAATATAACAATATAAAATAATATAATAATATAATATGTTGTATTGTATTATGTTATATTAATGTAATAAAACAATGCAACGCAATATAATATAAATATAATATAAAATAATATAATAATAATATAATATAATAATAATATGTTGTATTATATTATGTAATATAAATATAATATTAAATAAATAAATATAAAATGTTGCATTATGTTATATAATATAAATATAATATTAAATAATATAATATAATAATATAATATGTTGTTATATTATATTATAAATATAATATTAAATATAATAATAATGTTATGTTGTTATATTATATTTTAGAAACAAATTTTTTCTTGATCAAACAGGCCTATGTATTATATTACTATAATATTATTATATTATATTATCATTATATTATATATTATATATATTATATATATTATATATATTATATTATATTATATTATATTATATTATATTATATTATATTATATTATATTATATTATATTATATTATATTATATTATATTATATTATATTATAGGATGGGGATGCTGGCTGGCTTCTCTTGGCTTTACCTGTGAGCTGCTTCTGCTTCTGCTTCTGCCTTTTGTCTGCCTGCGAAGACCACGCGGCGCCGCCTGGCTCCGGCTTGGCTGCCTCTCTCTCTCTCTCTCTTCCTCTCCCTTCCTTTCTTCCTTCGTTCCTTCCTTTCTTCCTTCCTTCCTTTCTTTCTCGGGCACAAAGCGCTCTCCTCGGCTCGGCAGCCCCGCAGGCAAGGCAGGCGGGTCCTGGGCTTTTATGCCGAGGAGGCAGGAAAGAAAGAGGAGGAGGAGGAGGAGGGATGGAGACCCGCCTCCAATCGGGATGCAGCAGACCCAGCCCCAGAAAGAGAGAGAGAAAGAGAGAGAGAGAGAGAGAGAGAAAGAAAGAAAGAAAGAAAGAAAGAAAGAAAGAAAGAAAGAAGAAAGAAAGAAAGAAAGAAAGAAAGAAGAAAAAGGGGGGAAGGAAGGGAGGGAGGGGGGAAAGGAAGGAAAGGGAGGAAAGGGAGGAGGAGAAGGAGGAGCAGAAGCTGGGGGTCTCTTCTTTCTTTCTTTCTTTCTTTCTTTTCTTTCTTTCTTTCTTTCTCTCTCTCTTTCTTCCCTCCCTCCCTCATCTTTTCTTCTTTCTTTCCTTTCCTTTCTCCCCTACCTCATTTCTTTCTTTTCTCCTCTTTCTTTCTTTCTTTCTTTCTTTCTTTCTTTCTTTCTTTCTTTCTTCCCTTGCTTTCTTTCTTCTCTTCTTTCCCTCCCTCTCTTTTTTCTTCTTTCTTTCTTTCTTCCTCTTTCCCTACCATGAGGGAGGGAGGGAGGGAGGGAGAAAGAAAGAAAGAGAAGAGAGAGAGAAGAAAGAAAGAAAGAAAGAAAGAAAGAAAGAAAGAAAGAGGGGGAAGGAAGGGAGGGAGGGAGGGGGGAAAGGAAGGAAAGGGAGGAAAGGGAGGAGGAGAAGGAGGAGCAGAAGCTGGGGGTCTCTTCTTTCTTTCTTTCTTTCTTTCTTTCTTTCTTCCTTTCTCTCTCTCTTTCTTCCCTCCCTCCCTCATCTTTTCTTCTTTCTTTCCTTTCCTTTCTCCCCTACCTCATTTCTTTCTTTTCTCCTCTTTCTTTCTTTCTTTCTTTCTTTCTTTCTTTCTTTCTTTCTTTCTTCCCTTGCTTTCTTTCTTCTCTTCTTTCCCTCCCTCTCTCTTTTTTCTTCTTTCTTTCTTTCCTTCCTTCCTCTTCTTCCTCCTTCTTTCTTCTCTTCCTTCCCTCCCTCCTTTTTCCTTTCTTTCTTTCTTTCCTTCCTTCTCTTTCTTCGATACTGCCTTTCTTTCTTCTCTTCCTTCCTTCCCTTTCTTCTTTCCTCTCTCCGTCCCTCCTTTTTTTCCTCTGTTTTCTCTCATTTCTCTCCTCCTCCCTCATCTTTTCTTTTTCTTTTTCCTTTCTTCCCTCCTCTTTTCTTTCTTCTCTTCCTTTCTTTCTTCCCTCTTTCTTTTCTCTCCTTTCCTCCCTCTCTTTTTTCTCTTTCTTTCTCCCTTCCTCTCTTTCTTTCCTTCCTTCCTTCTCTTTTCCTTCCTTTCCTTCTTCCTTCCTTCCTTTCCCTCTCCTTTTTTTCTTCTTCTTCTTCCCTTCTTTCTTTCTTTCTTTCTTTCTTTCTTCCCTTGCTTTCTTTCTTCTCTTCTTTCCCTCCCTCTCTTTTTTCTTCTTTCTTTCTTTCTTCCCTTCCTTCCTTCTCTTTCTTTCCTACCATTCTTTCTTCTCTTCCTTCCCTCCCTCCCTCCTTTTTTCTTCTTTCTTTCTTTCTTTCTTTCTTTCTTTCTTTCTTCCCTTCCTTCCTTCTCTTTCTTCCCTACCATTCTTTCTTCTCTTCCTTCCCTCCCTCCCTCCTTCCCTCCTTTCTTCTTCTTCTTTTCTTTCTTCCCTTCCTCCCTTCCTTTCTTTCTTTCCTTCCTTCTCTTTCTTCTCTACTTCCTTTCTTTCTTCTCTTCCTTCCCTCCTTTTTTCTTCTTTCTTTCTCTCTCTCTTCCTTTCCTCCCTCCTCTTTATATAAGGATACTTCCTTCCTTTCTTCTCTTCCTTCGCTCCCCTTCTTTCTTTCTTTCTTTTTGTCTTTTTTCCTTCCTTCCTTCCCTTTCTTTCTTCTTCCTCTCTCACTCCATCCCTCCTTATTTCTTCTGTTTCTCTCTCTCTTCCTTCCCTCCCTCCTCTTTTCTTCTTTCTTTCCTTCCTTCCTTCTCTTTCTTCAATGCTTCCTTTCTTTCTTCTCTTCCTTCCCTCCCTCCCTTTCTTTCTTTCTTTCTGTCTTTTTTCCTTACTTCCCTTTCTTTCTTCTTTCGTCTCTCACTCCAACCCTCCTTTTTTCTTCTGTTTTTCTCTCTTTCTCTCTTCCTTCCTTCCCTCCCTCCTCTTTTCTTCTTTCTTTCTTTCCTCCCTTCTCTTTCTTCGATACTGCCTTTCTTTCTTCTCTTCCTTCCCTCCCCTTCCTTCTTTCTTTCTTTTTGTCTCTTTTTCCTTTTCTTTCTTCTTTCCTCCCTCACTCCATCCCTCCTTTTTTCTTGTTTCTCTCTCTCTTCCTTCCCTCCCTTCTCTTTTCTTCTTTCCTTCCTTCCTTCTCTTTCTTTGATACTTCCTTTCTTTCTTCCCCTCCCCCTCCTTTTTCTTCTTTCTTTCCTTCCCTACTTCCTTTCTTTTCACCCCCCCTCCCTCTTTCTTGCTTTCTTTCTTTCCTTCCTTCCTTCTCTTTCTTCGATACTTCTTTTCTTTCTTCTCTTCCTTCCCTCCCTTTCCTTTTTTCTTTTTTCTTTCTTCTTTCCTCTCTCCATCCCTCCTTTTTGCTTCTGTTTCTCTATCTCTTTCTCTCTTCCTTCCCTCCCTCCCTCCCTCTTTTTTCTTTCTTTCTTTCATTCCTTCCCTACTTCCTTCCTTTCTTCTCCCCTCCCTCCCTCCTTTTTTCCTCTTTCTTCTTCTCTCTTTCTTCCTCCTTCCTTTTTTCTTTCCTTCCTTCTCTTTTTCCCCTTCCTTTCTTCTCTTCTTCCTCCCTCTTTCTCTTTCTCTTTCCTTCTTTTCTTTCTCTTCCTTCTTTTCTCTTCCTTCCCTCCCTCTTCTTTTCTTCTTCCTTCCTTCTTTTTCTTTTTCTTCCCCTCCTTTTGGAAGAAAGGGAAAGAAAGAAGAAAAAAGAAGAAGGAAAGAAGGAAGAGAAGGGAGGGAGGGAGGGAGGGAGGGAGGGAAGGAAGGAAATGGGGGAAGGGGAAGGAAGGGGAAAGGAAGGAAAGAAGGAAGGAAGGGAAAAAGAAAAGAAGGAGGAAAGAAGAAAGGAAGGAGGAAAGGAAGGAAGGTGGAAAGGAAGGAAGGAAAGGGAAGGAGAAGGAAGGGAAAGAGGAAGGAAGGAAGGGAAAGAAGGAAAAGGAAGGTAGGAAAGAAGGAAGGAAAGAGGGAGGTAAGGAGGGAAGGAAGGAGGAGGAAGGGAGGGAGGAGGGAAAAGGAAGGAAGGAAAGAAGGGAGGAAGGGAGGGTAAAGGAAGGAAATAGGGGGGGAAGGAAAGATGAAAAGGAAGGAAGGAGAGGAAAGGAAGGAAGGAGAGGAAAGGAAGGAAAGAAGTAAGGAAGGAAGGAGAAGGAAGAGGAGAAGGAAGGGAAAAAAAAAAGGAAGGAAGGAGAAGGAAGGGATGGAGGAAGGAAGAAGGAAGAAAGGTGGAAAGGAAGGAAGAAAAGGAAGGGAGGGAGAGAGGGGGAAAGGAAGGAAAGAAGGGAGGAAGGGAGGGCTAAAGGAAGGAAATAGGGAGGAGGAAGGAAGGACAAAAGGAAGGAAGGATGATGGAAAGGAAGGAAAGAAGTTGTTGTTGTTGTTCATTCGTTCAGTCGTCTCCGACTCTTTGTGACCTCATGGACCAGCCCACGCCAGAGCTCCCTGTCGGCAGTCACCACCCCCAGCTCCCTCAAGGTCAGTCCAGTCACTTCAAGGATGCCATCCATCCATCTTGCCCTTGGTCGGCCCCTCTTCCTTTTGCCTTCCACTTTCCCCAGCATATTTTCTCTAGGCTTTGCTGTCTCCTCATGATGTGGCCAAAGTACTTCAACTTTGTCTCTAGTATCTTTCCCTCCAGTGAGCAGTCGGGCTTTATTTCCTGGAGGATGAACTGGTTGGATCTTCTCGCAGTCCAAGGCACTCTCAGCACTTTCCTCCAACACCACAGCTCAAAAGCATCGGAAGGTGGAAAGGAAGGAAGGTGGAAAGGAAGGAAGGAAAAGGAAGGAAGGTGGAAAGGAAGGAGAAGAAAGGAAGGTGGAAAGGAAGGAAGGTGGAAAGGAAGGAAGGAGAAGGGGGGAGGGAGGAAGGTGGAAAGGAAGAAAGGAGAAGGAAAGACAGAGGGAAGGAGGAAAGGGAGGGAGGGAGGAAGGAAAGAAGGAAGGAAGGGAGGAGGAAGGAAAGTGAAAGGAAGGGAAGTTAAGACTGTTTGGCCCTTTAAGGTCTCAAGGTTTTCTGTTGCTTCTCGATGCAGCAGAGCAACAGGGCTAATCCCTTCCCCAGAAACTTGTTCGGAATAGGATTGCTTTGTTTCTGCCATCAGAGTGACCTTTGAGTCCCACAATTACACAACTGCAAGCTGTTTCGTGCTGAATACAACTCTCCATGTGGGCTAATGAGAGCTCTCAACGGGTAGATCTGAAATTGAGCAATTTAGTACGGTCCGCGGATAGTGGGATCTGGACCACGGATAGCGAGATCTGGACTGCGGATACCGAAACCCGACAAGTGGATAGCGAGACCCGGCACGGACATTATTCCACTGGGATATAAACCCCATTTGCCTAGTTTCCAACACACCTCACAACCTCTGAGGATGCCTGGCGTAAATGTGGGAGAAACGTCAGGAGAGAATGCCACACCGCCCGAAAAACCTACAACAACCCAGTGATTCCAGCCGTGAAAGCCTTTGTCAATACAAGTTCCAAACTGCTAAGATGAGGATGATTATATTTCTTACTAGCCGTCTCCTGCCACGTGTTGCTGTGGCCCAGTCTGTGTATATGTGTGTTGTGTGTGTATATTTTTGTATATATGTGTGTGTTTGCATATATAGGTGTGTGTAGTTTTGCAAATGCATTGTAATGTATTTTTTAATATTTTTTTGCTTTTTAAGTCTCTTCTGCTGTGTTTTCAGTGTTTTTATGAGTGATGGTCACTCGTTGGCCTGACCAGTATCTTGTGTCCAAATTTGGAGTCAATTCATCCAGTGGTTTTTGAGTTATGTTAATCCCACAAATGAACATTACATTTTTATTTTTATAAACTAGCTGTCC